CTGCTTGTTCTGTTTTCTCGCACATATACAGCATTTACAGAGCTTAAACTCCATAGAGCATTTTTTGAGGTCGTTTGTTGGTTCAAACGAAAAAAAATATTACAAATGGTCTAGGCCCTGCTCTACCTTTAATATAACGACGTGAGCATGCTGCGTCACCCCAACCCCTAAACCAACCACCTAAGTTTTATATAATATAACCCTTAGGCCTACTTGTTTTACTTACAGATTTTGATGGTCACCTTTGGTGTGAGTCCCATCACTTTTGGAATAACTTTCGAGTTCCACATCGCAACAGACTTTCCCCTCATCCAGGTTTCATACAGCTAACGACTTTCACGCCGGCCGGGCCTCCGGCAGCCCCCTATAACTCAAGCCAGATTGAAAAAAAAATGACTCTGATGAAAACACAGGTCCCAACGTGAGAACGATCTTGCTTTATTCAATGTTAGTACCGACACTTTAACCAATTTTGTCCCAAGGAAGGAACATAGCCTGAGGGTCGGAGAACAGGGTGACCAGATTGGGTTTAAATTTGGCTCGGATTTTTTTTCGTCCATGTTCTTTCAGAGGCTGTAGGTATGGTGTTTCAATTTTTAGGAACTTGACTGTTTGAACTTGTTACACCTGCGTGCATGGCATTCATTTATGTGTCCCCGCTAATAGTAGATCGTCACATGGTGGGGGGGGGGGGGGGGGGGGGTGTTCGGATAAGGCCACAGGAAAAAAAGTCATGCACAAGAATCAGCAGTTAAGGACTTTTTGCAGGGGGGGGGGGAGTTTATCAGAAAATCAATGCTGAAATGTAGACAGGTTTTCTTCTCCGGACACTTGGTCTCCGTAAATTCAATACGTGGGGCCGGGGAAGGGGGGGGGGGACCCAGAATTTTGTACAACCCAGCTGGCCCTGTCCGAATGTTATAACCATTATAATTTTGGGAGGTGTCAGAGCAGGGGAGGGGGGGGGGGATGTTCACATTATTTTGTATGTGTTTCTTTAAAGAGGTTGTGGAATGCTCGAAGACATTTCCGTCATTTTTCGGGTATATGTAGCCTAAGGTGTGATGAAATAAAAATGACTATTGTTTCTGTCATGAAATGAGTACAAAGGGTACTTTTGAGAGCTGTTTTTCAGGTCCAGTTTCGACCCGAACGTTCAACTGTGTAAAAGTCGTCGTTGCGGGCAGCAAACAAAACACAGAAAATCGTGACGTAATAAACAGGACTCCCGATGCACAGTAGCATACACGAGTCCTGTTTATTACTATGATGTTTATTAAAAAAATTGAGTCAGAGCTGGGTGGGGGCTTGACCCCCCCCCCCCCCCCCCCCCCCCCCCCCCCCTCTGGATCCGTGCCTGACACGGGCCCACTGCGGCCTCCCAAAAACCACGTTGCTACAATTTAAAATTGTACATTAGCTAGGACAGAATGTTAAGTCTAGTTACCCTAAATTACAAATTTACGTCAGCTACAATGTGGGCTCCGTGCACAAGTAAGTACCCCCTCAACGGTAAGAAAGGGAGAGTCGGGGAGAAGACTGGGAGAGACATTCGCGACGCTATGGCTTTGTTCACATTGCCAGTGCTTCCACTATAAAAATTGAATTTCCGTAGATTGACATATATCTATAAATTTTTATTGAATTTCCTGATTTTTTCCATAATAATTGTCACTTGAAGTCACCTTGGTAATATAATAATGGCAATTTCTTACTTATTTGGGTTCTTATTTTTTTCAAAGAATGTTTCTTCGAAGCTTTGCTGTATCCTCGCCTCATCATTTGCACTCCGTCTCTTTCATATTTTTACACAAACTGCGGCTTCAGCTCTTTTGAAGGTGCTGGCCATTGCCATGGATACGGCCCTCAAGCCATAACCTCGACTCCTGTTCCGTATACAGAGCCCCCCCCCAAAAAAGGGGTCTAAATTTTGTTTGAACACAAATTTCTATTCAGATGGTTTTCTTGATTTTTTCTTGTATTTTTGAAATTTCTATGAAATGTCCTTCAAATGTTGGATTTCCTTTAAAAAATGTCGTTATTATTTTCATTCCTTTGAAGCAATTTCCTTCTGACGTAAACATTTTTTGTGGAAAAGTGGTGGAAGCGCCGGCACATTCAGAAAAAACCCATGCAGTCATTCGTTTTTTTGCGCTGTGAAATTTGTGCCCTGTCCACTGGTTTCTCGAAAGTGGTAAGAAAATATTAAAGCGCCCTCTCTTTTTCTCGCACGGAGCCCAAAGATCAAGACAAGTCTACTCGACCTCCTTGGTGGCGTATGTCGATTCTTTTCTCTGATGCATTGCCTAGTCAGCTGTCACGGTGCCGCAGCGGCAGTCCATAATCTACCACAAACGTCTCGGAACAAGACAATGTGAACTTCATTAAATTGCTAGTTTTCAGCGTGATACATTTATAGAAAACATTCTTCTGGTACTTTTTTGTTGCCAGCAGAGCGATAGGGAAGATCTAATTAAGGCCTTTTTTTACCACAGCTTTTTCAGCTGGGAATTGAGCCACCGGATAGTGACTCTTTAATGTGGTCTCAAGAATGAGGGTACCTTCTTGAAAGGAAGGGCTCAACTTTTAATACTTCATTCCTTTCTGACAGAAGAAAGTTGGTGATTTTGGACGGCAACTATTCAGGATCATCGTGCCTTTTGGCTGATGGGATAGAGAGCAATGACGAAAACATGGAAACGAACTCTTCAAAGATGCCACCTAGTTTATTGCTAAAAAAAATACACACGAATATATAAAAGCTTAAACTTCATCGAAATAAAACCAGAACAATTGAATACATTTGAAGATTACTTTGTATACAGCTTTTGCAAAAGCATTATCACAGAACGACCGTGTGTCAAATGATCGTAATATCAAAACTTATACAACAACAACGATTTTGCAGTTGTAAAACTGTGTTTGTATTATCTCAAAAAGAAATATATATATTCAGTTATGCCATATTTACAAACAATTAAGTCTTCGAATGAAATTACGGGTGGAAAAAGGTTATCTCCAATGGGTACAGCCGTTCAAAGTTCGCTTGAGATAGGCCTATGATGTATTTGTTATTGAATTGTGCAACAAACATGACATTTTACGGGATAGACTAAAAAATGTCAGCGACATCAACTATTATTATAGTTAATCATAAAAGCAGGGTCTTATGCCTACGATAACTTTGCTTAGTTAAAACTAGATAATTTTATTTGAAGAGCGATGTACTCTTGCAAGCAGATTATTGCTTGCTTGATTTACTTACCATACAGGATGAGTAAAAAAAACCCGAAACCCAAATGTCGGGACCATTGTCCTAGTAAAGTTTCTGCATGTAGCACTTTCAAAATCTAGGATATGAAAGCCCAACTCATAAGCTTTCTTTTAGTACAAAAATCATTCTAATCGCTAATGTACTTTTTAAGTTACGAAATTTTAAACACAACCACCAAATTTAAAGTTCTGTCCACGGATCACAAAAAAAAATGTGCGTTCTTTCAGCAAAACGAAAACAAGTCACACATCCCTATGTGATTTGTTTTCGTTTTTCTGAAAGAACACTTACCTTTTTGGATCACAAAAAAGGTAAGATCATGGACAGAACTTTAAAACGGTGGTTGTGTTTAAAATTCCGTAACTGCATGCGTAACTACAAGTGCTTCATGCATATCTTTACTAAAACAATGGTCCCGACATATCGGTTTCGGTTTTTTTACTCACCCTGTATATTGAGTACCTAACTATTTTGAGACATGTCAAGATTGTCTTTTTGTTCTTTTTGTTAGCAAAAATAGTAGAGAGTTCAACCGTAGACACGTGACTCTTCCATATTACATTATTTTGTTCAGCCAAAATATTTTACATTCCAAAATAAACCAATTATATTGCAGTTGATTTTTAGTAAGGAAGACAATAAATTTTGTTAATTAAAGCAGTTTTCATGCACTGCTCAGCAGATCTTTTTCTATATGCATATTTACATCCATCCTTGAATTGATTCATACATAAACGAATGATTACAAAGCAAATTTCTTTCACAATTGTACCTAAAAGTAAGCAAAATATAATATATAAAAACATATATATATATATATATTGATACAATGTATTCACAGTTATGCAGGTTGAGTAAAAAGAAAGTGACCTGGATCAATGATTATTCCCCTTTAAAAAGCAAGTGCGGTATATTTGACACACCAACGAAGCATGTTCTTAACGAGCATGTTCCTCCACTCATGTGGAAAAAAATTTACTGAAATGGATCATGCTATCAGAAGTTATGCAAGTTTCACGAAAGCAACTCACTTTACAGCTGTCCATCGACAATGCTTTACGCCATTCAGCTGAGTTTAAACCACAGGCATTCAAATACAGTTAGAGTTCACAAATTTCAGTCAAGACTGAAACATTTTTTGAGGGTCAGATTTTGTGTTTTGTATTTGACGAACAATTAAAGTCTTTTTCTGAAATGATGCTGGTGATTTTTGACTGTTTTCCTGTGCACGTTATTGTTCATTTATGAAGGCAGAAAATCGCCCATGTTTCATTAAAAGGTTCAGCAATGGTATCGGTAAATGATCAGTGGTGCACATCTGAATGTTGTGGTATTTCTATTAATTTAATAGAGATAACTTGTGATTTAAGTGAAATTACGAGTGAAATTAAGTGAAGTTTTCTCCCTCGGTCACTTTCTTTTTGACTCACTCAATTTGAAAATGTTAACTTATAACGAGATAGAGATACAAAGGAGAGCATTATTCTAATTTGTTCAGAAACAAGGACAACTGCAAATTGAAAGCGGTTTCCTTATTGCTTGATTAAGTCTTGAAAAGCGTAGAATACCAAACTTTCAATATTGAAACCACGTTTATTGACAATGTTGGTAGTCCTGTATGAGAAGAAATACAGCAGTTCTAATCGATAGGTTAAAGAAAGGGACAGAGACGTTGCTTTCTCATTTTGTTCATTTTCCCCCAAAAAATGAATTGTCCTGATAAGAACAGATATCTGATTTCTATTGCATTCATCGTTTGTTTTGATTTGATAAAAAAAGCCTCCGACATCTTTCGACATCGCAAAAAAATATAATGCTCATATAAAAATATTCAGTCTACAATCCCATCGAAGATTAAAATAAAATATCAATAATTTCATCAGCCGAACTCTTGTATTTTTTCTACTTTGAAGTTAGGGGTCCATGCAGACAACGCAATCAAGTTTGCACCACTGAGCAAACTCGCTCCCATCATTGGCCTTTTGCGGTAACTCTTCACCAATCTTACTTCGTGCCCGTTTTACGACTTCGACCGAGGAACGGCACTCTTTCGAGTCGTACTCGATTCGGTTTATCGGAGAGAAGGGGACTATTTCCTCAACAACAACCCCTGATCTATGGCATATCACCCCTATTTGCTCTTTTGCATCAAACACATCGAGTACTATTGCGTGTCGTTTCGGCAACTGCCATGTACCGGGTAAAATAATCTGGTCCCCGGGTCGGAGGGCGCTTACTTTTGTGACAACCTTATCGTCATACTTGATCGCGGAATTCACCATTTTCCCGATCAGTTTGCCTACAACCCATCCCATGCCAAGACCCACAGCGCCTCCAACGATGGCCCCAATATAACCCCCTACCCAGGTCCCTATGACGGGGGCAATAAATGAGCCTGCAACGCTTCCAATTGAGGCTCCAATCGCCTTTCCAGCGAAGCCCAGCCCTACCGCGCACCCCGCTTTGACCAACGCCTGGGATGATGCCATGCAAGCCTCCGTCAGGAAATCTTTGAGGGATATGTTCCCTTGTTTTCTCTGTTGCCAAAGCTCTGCTATATCCCATACGCATGACACACCATCGATGACAAGGATCAGTCCGGTATTTACACCTTGACAAACGTCCCCAATGGTGTCGAGTGTGTCAACTAGACTTGCACTGTCATCCGTAGACGCCGAGTCTTTAATCGAAGTCTTCAAGATGCCGCAGGCGCGGCCAACCATTTTTGCGCCCTTTTTGAGACCACTAAGTGCTTTGTTGATCACCATCTTGCATTTTTGAACATTTCCAGACTTTTTCGGGGATGGTGCCGGAACAGGGCTGATGGGCTCTGAAAAAAAAAGACAAACGTCATTTGTATGAATAGGGCCATTTAGCTACGTCCGCAATCCTACATTTTCTTAAAACTTGTTAATTTGCTTCTAATGGAATTTTTGCGTCGGACCAATGTACATTTTCGGGTTTGCGATGTTACTCAATTCTTCCAAAGTAAAAAAAAAATCACAAGCTTGCCTCGATGGGACCGAAACCAAATGCCTTCTGCTGATATAATTCACCCCGTCGAACATGTAACGTTTTAGTTTTGCCCATTAAAAAAAGAAATATTGAATGGTGATTAAATAGGCCCCTACATTTATTTCAATGCTGCCATATTGGATGATACATAATGTTACGTAATCAAACTGACAGTACATGTACATTGATGCATAGTGAACAATGACAACATCTAGGTCCGGGGTGAAGCAACAGCTTTTGTTCCCCAGTCGACGTTTGTTAACACTGAATATTGTATTGTCGTCCGAGGGCCTGTTATAGTGTTAGAGACATTCCCAAGTCCTCGGCCAACTCTGACTTTACAGTGTTCATAAAATACGTCAGCGAACTTGAGCGGAGTACAAAATCCAATATAAACTTCACATCTCCCGACGCAAATCCATCTTATCAAATTGCCCAAAGTTCCTGAGAAGTAAGTATTGTGAAGTACAGCACAATAAGTCGGTGAATTCGCTGAGGATAATTGAAACGAGCCCGGTTTCAAACTGGTCTGGTATAGTGACAAAATACTGTTGAGCTTATTGGAAGGGTATTGGGTAATAATTATTTGCAGAGAGTTTTGAGGAGCCCGATGTTATTACGTGGATTATTAGTACATTAAAAGGATATAAAGAAAACCCTTTAATGATTGTACAAATTTGCCACCCTATAATATTTTCACCATCCTGCAACAAACACACCTTTTCGGAAAATTGGCCACGGAAAGTTTTCTCGGGATGAATGCTAAACGCTGAAATTGGATTTGTAAGAACAAATGTTGGTGTACCGAAAAAGGATATCTTGAAACGACAACATCGCATGTTGATGTTATTTCCACAAGTAAAACACAAAAGAATTTTACATCATGTCCATGCGTTGCAAATCTAAAATGTGGGGCTTTTTACCTCTTGGATATTGACACCTTCTTATTGCGCAGTGCTCGGAAGGAATGAATCCCGGATAAAGGTCGAAAATAGATGTCTCTTCCACGTTCTCTTGATGGGGTGCAGTGCTGGTGCTGGGTCTATTCGATTGATACTTTGGTGCTGTAAATAATGAAAGTCATTTTGCCTTTCTTAAAGGAGCCTCGAGATTCGAGAACAGCAGAAAAACAACTATTTAAACAGCTGACGAGACGTCCAGATATTCGATTAAGTTTTACGTTATTACGTGGACATTACTGCATATGTTTTTATTTGTTTTAAAAGCTAAAAACCCATTTTCCAAGGGGCAATGCTTTTTGTATCGCCTGGATCTGGATAGGCATGAGTGAACCATTTGTGCATTCATTGTTACTGAATTAAAATAATAAAATATGCCCTCTAAGATGGCTGCTACGCGTAGGGCCTATAGTAATATAAAACTTTCTGAGGTGTACATTTTTTTCTGAAACAAACGTAGTCAGGCAGATTGGTGCACAGTATGATAGAATTATTCAGTATTTTGATGATATAAGCATGAAATATGAAACACAGTCAGAGTATGTCATGGGAAAGATATTTGGATATATGGCCTTCGCAGATTTGTCCTCTGAAAAAAATATCATAGAATAACATGGAATGGCCGCCATTTTGCAACTTTTGAAAATTTCTTTTTGCTATGATTCTTTTTTTAAAGTATGTCTTTATAATTTTGAAGAAAAAAACAAAACAAAAACAGACTGACAGACGCACACCAACCGACCGACCGACCGACCGCCCGCCCACCCGACGTGGAGTAGTAAAGGCTGTCTTAAAACCTGATCACATTCCTTAGGTAAATGCTAGACAAAAGGTGAACGGCTGGTTAAAATAAATTCCTATTTACCAATTTGGTTTTTAGTTTTTAACTAACCTGAAAATCTATTTCGATATATGGGAGTACAGGTGCCCTCCCCTTGCTTTCTGACACAGCAAAAGAATTTACGAATATTTTTTTTTCACGGATGAGAGACAACTTAATAATATACTATACCAAACGATTGAGTAATGCTCTCATGGCCTGCGAGGGTCAATGCGGTTGCCAGATACTGCACCGGGTTGTCCCCTTCGAAATTGTCCCGCCAAATCCTTAGCATTAGCCTCGCCTGGTCTGCGGGGGAAGAGAGGCCTGCCATGGCCTTAATATCCCTCAGGTCCTCACAATCAAAGCCAAGATAACAGGCAAGTTTTTGCCAGGATGCTCCCAGTGAAGTTCCGATTTTATTCAAGATTTCCGTGTCAAGATCCTCCGCACCTGTTGGAGGAAGCGAAAAGGATGGTTGGTTACAACGACGTTAGGGCGGGGTCCGCTCGTAAGTCTGACGCCTCATAGGTCCGACTCCTCATAAGTCCGACATTTCGGACTTATGAGGCGTCGGACCTATGAGGCGTCGGACTTATGATACGGTCCCGTTAGGGCTATAAGATATCACTAACTGACAGCCTTTGCAATCCTTGCAACAGTTGCTATTTTAAAAGACTTTTGATATCTTCTCTTTTTCGATTTTATGCGTATTGGATTTTGATATTCTTGAACAGAACAAAACCTCTTCAGCACCAGCAATTGCGTACAATTTGGAATTTCATTGTTGCGATACAATTTCAGTTTTCTTTGGTTGAATTGTTGTCGTTTTAGTACAAGACAGTAAGTCAGTGAGCAAACCTTTACAATAAAAAAAGATAAGCTCCACCCCCCATCTGATCAATGTTAATGATTTACATGTTTGGGGAAAAAATCATGTATAGCATCATCGTTCATACCTTTTGCTTTGAGCGTTCTTTGTCACTGGCTGCAAGTTTTGTAACATCATAATCATTCGCTGCCTCACAAATTGGGACATCACCGCCCAAGCCATCTCCCACACCCACTATTATGTGCCCAAGGGCGGATCCGGGGGGGGGGGGGGTGCAAAGTGGGCCATGGCCCCCCCCCCCCAAAAAGAAACCAATTTTTTTTTATATGTGACATCGCAATAAAGGCAGGCAATGAGTACACCACAATCTTTTCCTCAAAAAAACATTGTTTAAAGTGGTCAGAAATTGCCTCAGATCGCTCCACAGAGCATCTAGAATCCAAAAATTGTTCGGGGCCCTTAAGCGGGCCCCGAACCCCACGCCGTAATTTTGTTTACCCACTTTTTGGGGGGGAACCAAATTTTTTTGGGCCCCCAAAAAATGGTGTCCTGGATCCGCCCTTGTATGTGCCTACCTTATAGTCCAAAACTAGGCACTGTGAAGAAGTGTGTGCCATAAGTTTCACAGCTGTCGAAGAACTTACAATGAGCCATGCTGTAAAGGGGCGTAAGTATACCTTGAACTGTATGAATCAAACCCATTAATGAGATATTTATGTGTGTGCAATGGGCCTACTTAAATGAAACTCTCGCACTGGATACTCACCTAGTTCATGCAACAGGTCGTACCTTCCGATCTGTTTGAGTGCCCCTGTCAAGTCATCAACGATGTCGTTTCCGTAATAATGTTCCTTCCATGTCTTGAGCATGTTGAGACCATTTCCAGTCCTCCGGGAATCCTCCTCGTCGAAACCGAGGAAGATAGCTAGTCTAGTCCACGTTCTCCCGAGGGATTTAGCTAAGTTCCCAAGACACTCTTCGTCAAGTACCTCCAAACCTATCATGAAATCAAAAACGATTGACAGTCTTCGAAAATGTTTTCTCTCTTCCCCCCCCCCGCAAGAACAAATGATAAAAAAGGTCTTTGTTTGCAATTACCAAACTAAATAGACAACGTAGGGCCCATCCAAAATGTTGACCCTGCAGGAATAGTGCTTGAGCAGGGGGCTGTTCATGTCAAATATCTGATACAAGTCGTGACTAAGGCATGAAACTTGATGTTGGTTCTTCATGACAGGAAGAAAAGTTTTCAGATGTGGAGGCATTTGACCTCTGTTACCTTTGAGAGGCCAATGACCTTTACATTATCTATTTACATACTCTTGAAAACACCACTTTTACACAACCCAAGTCTATGTCATTTCTCTTCAGGCCATGACAATAATGATCAGATGTAAAAAAAAGATACTTGAACTCTGGTGACATTACAGAGGTCAATAACCTTTGTATTCCATATTTATCGTTACTTATTGTTATTTACAATATTTACTCTTTAAACTCAAAATATTTAAAGACCCAACTCTGAATGTTAGGTGTTTATGCTTTGAAAAGAATTTTCATATGTAGGACATTTCATATATTTCCACTGGTGACCTTCAAGAGGTCAGTAACTATTCAAAACCCCACTTTTCACGACCCATATCTAAATTGTGGTCTTCTTGCCATGATATAAATATTCAGATGTGTGAACTTTCATATTTGATTTCTGATGACCTTTGAGAGGTCAATGAACTTTGTTTGCCTTATTTGTCGCTATTTATCATGTTTCTTCGCCAAAGACGCCAATATTGTTCGCACCCTAGCCTCCATAGTGCACAAAAAAGGTATTGAACCAATTATTCTACAGTCATGTTTTTAATTCAAAACTTTTTTATTCTCAGACGCAGCATGCTGCGACTTGAATAAAAGGCTTTTGTACAAATGTCCAACAGTATTCACTCTTGTGTAATTACTACACTCTGTTGCATCTAGATGGGCTTGATTAAACACATGTTTTACTTTTTTTTATCTGACCACTGGTCACTGTTACAGTGTGATGGTTGTCCAATGTACATCTTATGTTTTGTTGCGCCTGTGTCTGTCCTTAAAAAAGTGAAATGGAGATCAGAGGTCATGACAAATATTGTCTGGGGTCTGAATTCATGACATGCTGTAGAATAATAGTAATTAAAATACACTTCTTTTGCATTTAGGCTTGTGTCATGAACAATATCAAATATTAAATATGATAAATAGTGGCAAATAGGGTAAATAAAGTTCATTGACCTCTCAAAGCCAATATATGAATGTTCACACATCTCACAATACATATCATGGCATGAAGACCAAAATTGTAGGTATGGGTCACGAAAAAGGGGGGTTTTGAATAGTACATTTTATAAATATATATATTAATGGGGCATACAAAGTTCATTGACCTCTTGCAGGTCACCAGAGGTCAGATATGAAATGCACTACATACGAAAATTCCTTTCATAACATGAATACATAACAGTTAGCGTTGGGTCTTGAAAAGTTAGGATTTAAAGAGTAAATCCTATAAATACCGATAAATAATGATAAATCCGGTAGACATTGGTCATTTCTTTGAAAGGTCACCAGAGGTCAAACATTTTTTTTTTTCCACATCGCTTAATTTTTTTTCATGACCTGGAGACCTATGACATAGGCTCCGGTCACAGGACTATTGTATAGAGAATTTAAAGGTCATTGACCTCGCCAACGTCACCAGAGGTCAAATATGAAATGCCTCCACATCTGAAAATTTTCTTCATGGTATGAAGAACCAACATGCCTCGTTTCATGCTTTAATCACATAGTGCACAAATATGTCATTTTAGGCCTATAACAGCCTCACTATACAGGGAGGTTTCAAACAGTTGGCCACAAAGGGTAGGAGAGGGATGCAATTTCCTTTGGTACTCCCCTATTACTACTCCGACTCTTAGTATCTGTAGGTAGGTTAAAATTTATGGTAAAGAAAATAAAACAAGCGATCGAGAGATTGCTTCCAAAATCAATTGACGGAAAAATGCAGCACTTGAGAGAGAACTTACCGATTTTTTTCAGAACATCACAACGCCTAATCATCTTCAATGCCACCTTGAGGTCGTTCAAGTGACTCGCATCCGGACGCTGCCTCCATGCTGCCAACATGTACTCGGCCTGTTCCTTCACCTGGCCCTTGTACGCCTCAATGATGGCCTCACACTCGTCCCAGTCGAAGCCCAGTTCGATGGCAAGTAAAGGCCACTCTTCGTCTAATGCATCTGCTATGCTGCCAAGAAACTTGTCATTAAGGACACGCCTACCTTCACGACGACCTGAAACAAAAGTTGCGGTGAAACTTGTATGCTGCGAGACATTTTGCACTTAAGAATTTATCGGTTTGTGATCCTAACACAACATTATATTACTCATCCACTTTAAGGGAAAAAGTGGTCTGTTTTGTTTTCATAGTCAGCGCAACAACAATTTGGGGATATTTGTGTGCAATTTGTGTTCGCGAGTTGGAATCAAAACAGGTCAGTCATCACATGGAGGCGAGGGGAAATGGTCTGCAAATTAACGGCGGCAACAAAAATACATATGTTACTCTTTGATATATTGCGCCCAACGTAAGCAAATTACAACTCTATAGCCAACATTACATGTGAATTTTTTTTAATGAATAATTTACAAATATGTCACAATAAGGGGTGGGGGAACGGGGCATCTAAATTCACGTGGGCACGTATTCTGTGCGCGCCGCAACTATTAAAAAGACGCTTCACATACCAAGAAGACAAAAATGGGCTCTGATTCAACACTAGTTTGAATCATTTAGTACATTAGATCTTGTTTTTTTCCCGCATTTTAGAATATTCTTCAATATGCACAGATGATTGTTGAAATAATCAGAGGACAAAGTTAACCACAATCTCACCATAATAGCCGGACATTTTGACGTTTCGCAAGCTTTCCCCTCGTAGATGTGTGCTCTCTTCTATTCTCTTATGAAACACACACCTGACAAAGTTTGCTGGCTACTTCTGAAATCTTGCGTCGGCTGCATGATGAAAGCTTTTTATATTGTCTCTGGTCTGCTCTGTGAACGGTCCGCTGTACCTCGGATAAAGAAATAATTATCAACAGTGTCGAGGCGGATGAAATAACCAAAGCTCATCACGTCAGTGAACCGTGAACTTATCATTCCCTGATCTGGTAAACACAAGCACAAACATGGTAACCATGCAAACAGTAGCAAACATGATGGGTTTGTTTGCGTTCCCCGATTACCTTGTTTGTTTAGGTTTGCTAATTAGCTTTTTGTTTGTAACCTGTAATTATACCTTAGACTTACAACATTGTTCTAGCAGTCTCTTTAGAGTTCAAGTGGAATTTTGTTGTCACTGTCAGAGCTATAATGTCAGCGTGATAGCACTCTCTTGAAGTTAATTTCACAAACATGTTCAAGTTAAATCCGTGAGAGCCTATCTTTCGGTATACTTTGACATGGAGTACATGATTGGAAGCCTCAAATAAAGTTCCGAGTATACTGCTTCAAGCTGGACAATCTGGACACAATAGCGTATTACTTTAAAGCAAATATTCATTATCCGATGCTGAAGACGCTGTATCTCTTTGTATAAAGTTGACGGTTTTGAAACTGAGTTGGTGTGCTTAGTTTGGGTGAGGACAATCATTCGCACCCAATGTAAAAACACAATTAATAAAAATATACCGGTGCGCTCGTTTTATTCTTTTTTTTCCCGACAAATTACGAAAGAGCCACTAAACAATTAATGTGATTAATCATTTTTGCCTGATATTTCAGTTGAATTTTGTCTTTTGTTATAATAATAGCAAAATGACCACAATCACCTGTCCTCTGTAACTGAGCCAACTCTCTGCAACTACATTTTTAGCTCCACGGTTGCTGTCGTTGACGTTGATTCCAATATGCCTAGGACAGGTATACCAACCGGGCAAAGTGGGGAAAACCAGTTCAGGGGATGGATCGCTGTCAGTTGTTCTTCTGATCACAACAATTGGATATTTATTTCAGCACATTGTGATACAACTATATAGCGAGCGCAGTGGGGCGACCCCTCACAATCATAGGATATTAATAAAATCACAGTATTTCGCAATCACATGCATGTGAAGTGGGCACCATGAGTAGGGAATTCCCCAACTGATACACACTATACAAGACTTTAATTATTAACTTCATTTATTTGCTGAGACCTGGTCAAAGATCGAAGTCAACATTACTGCACTGAACTTGCATAGTAATCAGTTTTGCAGAGTAATTTTTTTGCAGAGTAATCACTTTTGCAAATAGTACACTTTTGCAGATACACTGTATGTAAAACTTTATATTTAACGTTTCAACACATAATTAACTCCCTCTGACAATTTATATGATAGAGCTCCTTGTCCTGCGGTAGTTTTGTCACAGTCACTCTCCGATATTTCTCCCAAAAGTCATTGGTAAACCCCGCATCCCAACATTGAACAGAAAATGAAAGATGATGAAATGAGCTTTAATTTGATGTGTGCCTCAACACCTTGGAAAAAATTTAGTATTTTTTCCTGAATTTCGGAGGTAGGCGTATTATCACTCCCTTTAATAGTCAACAACATTCAAAATTCAAAATAACAAAATTATTAAGATATAGACCTACCTTGATTGACTAATAATAGTCCTAAGCATCCAATGAAATCACGGCATCTGGCGTGTTGTCATTGTCAAGAAAATTCAATTTTCTAAAATCAATTTCCAAAAATATGTTAAGGCGACTCTCGATGGAACAGAAAAATGATTTTTTTCCCTTCAAATACTGGCCCCAATTTACCAAATTGTAGTCCACATTTTGTTTGCAATCGGTAATACACATCCGTGAACGGGTGCAAGGCTGCTAGTCTGGTTCCCTGACCTGACAATTCCCCGACATCTGACTTGTTCCGTTTCGCTATAGAAGTAGGATCATAGAACCAAACTAGCATTTTCCTCGTTGATTTTCCAGCATCTATGAACATATAAATTTAAGTGGGTCACGGTAACAATATTTGCCACAATATACTAGGCCTTAAATCCATCCATTTCTGAAAGTTACAGCAAAAGCAAAAGTTCCAATGTTATCGTTAAAGAATAACAAGATTAAAATAAGTGTTTCTTGGGTGGTTACGGTTTTAGAAATTATTTTACCAAAAAATGAAGAAGGTGCAAGGGCAAACCGGTTTTCACTATGTCGTCAATTTGTAGGCCTTTAGTATTTCCTGTGCTGAAACTTCAGCAGGGTAGTTGTTATTGAACTTTCTTCAGTAAAAAGCGACTGATCCTTTGTACCGTGCAGCACGTCCCAAAATATCCGCAACATTTTTTGGGGGCTCTAGCGTCGGCGCAGAAACACGTACCCGCCATTATGTTTGCACCATTTTAAAACTTCGAATCATAACTTTATCCATGACGAATATTGGTTTGATATTTAAAAGAGTTTTAAAATTATTCGCTTTAAATTATAGGCATGTCGAAAACAAACTCAACCGATTTCAAGGAAAATCGATGATGCGGTACATCAGATGCAAACTCGAGTCAACAAGCTTTTGAAAGGGCCAAAAAAAAATAATAACAGTTGATATATATTAAAAACACATTGAACTTGAAAAAAAAAGAACAATGTTCTGAATTTATTTAACGTGTAGTCTACGTGGATCGAAAAGAAAAGGAAACACAGAAAGTAAAAGGCAACGAGATCGTCACATCATGTACATGATTAACCCTACAAGGGCCGGGTTATTTTGACCATCTCTCAGCCGGGAGGGGGGGGGCGGATTCAGCCCCCCTAAGATATCGGCCATCGAGTGACGAACATTTTTGAAACTCGGTACATGCATAGAACCACTTATCATGAACATATCCAAGAAATGACTATAGGTCAAAGGGTTTTGGAATAATGGCTAATTAATTTTTCATATGCACATAATGGTAATTCTGCTCTGTGTACACTACGTATAATGGGGAAATTCAGTTTTCACGGCGCGTAGCGCCGTAATTTTTTAAAATGTTTTTGGTATCAAAAGATGCACAAGGCTTGAGGCTAAAAAGTCAGAACAGCTCGGGTCGCGATTTTTTTTTTCAAAGCTATTGAAGTTGAGGGGGAGGGGGAGGATTCCGCCCCGGCCCTTTTAGGGCTAAAGGAGCACAACTGGGTGTAAGGGGGTGCCATGAATGTCCTGTCAGATAAAACTTACAGCTTTACATTATAGTAAAGACGTCTTTAACATAACAAAAACACTTCATTCCCTTTCACCCGTTGCGCTTGTTTTCATGCTAAACTTAACACCACAAAATGTTGAAGACTAGTTCTGAACTGACATTCCATAACGGAAAAGAATGCGCTTGTGGTTTTCATCGCGTGTCAAGACAATAGCGTGTTCACGCCCTCTGTTGTTAATGAAAAAACTAATAATAGTGGGTATTTCTAAAGCGCACGTTTCCACCACGACATGGTGCTCAAAGCGCTAAATCATTATTACCTCTGCTCATTGGGCCCATGAAACTTTCCAAATACCATCTCAGCTCCACTGAGTTAACTTTGTGAGATATTTCATTTTTCTTTAAGTTAAGGTTTGCCAGTTGCAGTATCAATTCTACGTTCGGGATTGTGCTGAAGCTATTGGCTAATCGTGCTGAATAGTGTTAGTTTTTTGATGGCAGAACGCTAGTCTACATTAAACAAATAGATTTGGGTATCACGCTCCAGATATTCCTAACGCTGCGGGCGCTATTAATTCAATGATCAGACCATAGACATGTCTATGGATAAGACAGAAAAGTCGGACGACATATGCATGCTCATATCCTTTGATAGACCTTTATCATGCTGCAACCATTCCAGTCATGTTCCCTGTACCCAGTAACAGTACTGAATGATAATGTTTATTGTGCGAAAAGGATCCAGACTATTTTTCCTTCCAGCTCGCTTTGGTTACGTTGATTTGAATGGAAAAACCAGGATGGCCGGCATGATAATGGTCTAAACAATAAGGGCACCAACCAGCATTAACACCTTAAGAGCGCAAAAGGATAAACATCTTTAACATGGAAACCATGTTGTTTTCAGGTGTACTGTCGGGTTTTTATCATTTTTTTCTTCACTTTTTGCAGTTCGTTAACAAACTCCTAGCATGCAACAACAAATCATAATAGGGGATGGGGGCCAATGACAACGGGGCTGGGAAAGTAGGAAACTCGCCTACTGAAATTTAACTTTGTGGAAAACAAATTTTAAACATACCGTTCACATTGTACATTCCTCACGAATAACACTGTTTATAAAACACTAAACTTCTGTTTTGAAATTCATATTTTTGTTTTTTTTATACAGTTGAAAAATCACAAAGAAAACCAGAGATTTTAAAATGTATTAAAAGCAATTGCTGTGAAAAAGCTCCTTATCACTTTGATGACAAATTATGTCCCAAATTGAATCGTAAAAGGATGTGTTCAGTAATTTTAGTTTAAAGTTTAAAGTTTGTACGATGTAACACAATGTTAAATGTGCCTGCTGCTTTTTTAATCCTCAAGATATTCAAGTATTTCAGATATTGCCATGTGTCATCATTTTCCCCAAAGAATTCTTCTATGCCATCCCTTGTGTCGAACAGGATATAGAATCAACGACGACGATAGCAAACATGGAGCTCGAAAAAGTGGGAGGTGGTGGGGGGGGGGAGATAGTCGCGGGGTTGGAACGTTATCACGGTCTAACAAATAGTAGCTCAATATTGGGTGAAATTACTACCTATTCGAGAGTAAAATGGGAGCATGGTCGTCAAATTGTGTAGTTTTTTACACAACAGCTAGAGTGTAGAAAAGTACTCATTTCAGTGTAACTGTTTACCCATAATTGTGTTACGCAGTTGTGTAAGAAACCTGTGACATGTGACAACCATGTTCCCTTTTTACTCAATGATTGGGTAAACTTTACCCAACCCTCATTTTACCCAAGAGTTGTGTCAGTTTCTTACTCAGATTGGGTTCTAATTTTTACCCTGCACTGTTGGGTTTTAATTTACCCATCACTTGGGTTGGTTTTTAAATCAGTTATTGTGCACTTTTGTACATTGACCCTTGCGGTTTTATTCAACTTTGAACTCTGCAATGCATTGTTCTGTTTCTTGCTGCGTACAAATCCCAGTGTTTTGCAATCATGCATGTGTTGCTGATGGCACCACAGTAGGGAATTCCCTCAAATGACACACACTGCCGGATTAATTATTTACTTAATTTATTTGTTGAGACATGGTTAAAAAGCGATGTCAACATTACTGTACCGAACAGAGTACTTTTCTTTGTTTTTTTGAAGATACATAACCGCCATGTTCAGACTATTATTATTGATGGGGCAGGGGTGAAAAAGGACACTCTCCAAACCGTCCTGAGAAAGGGAAGACATGTTTTTTTCATTAATCACCCGGCCTCCGTAAAATAAAAAAAATTGTTTGTGTGCGGGGGTGTGTGAGTTTGTCTTACATACGCAGTGTGGACTTCCGAACAAAAGACGTCCACATAATGTAGGTAGCACCGACGTTGTGTGGACTTACCCCACGTCCACACAGTGTTTCCCCATTTCTGGAAAACAGGTTTAGAGGCATTTTTGGGTTAGGTTTATCTGTAGCAGAATGAAGAGAAACACTAAAGGGAATCATAGAAAAAAAATTGGGTTGAAAGAGTTTTCACAGTTTGAGAAAAATGAGTTTTTTCACTGGTTTTTCTTAACTACACGAAAGCAATGGAAAGTCCACACTAGTCATGTGAAACAAGTAGGGGGGGGGTGTGTGTGTGGGGGGGGGGGAGCTGCACACCATTTTCCTATGGGGACACTGTTTAAACTGGATACAACTATAGAACAATGTGGCCTTTTTTCATGGCGGCACTATTGCCGACCTTAGCCCGACATTCAGAAGGGCACTGAAAAAGGAGCTCGTTAAAAAAGGTTACAAAATACTTTTTTTATGGTGATTTTGGACAGCACCTTTTAAGGATTACATGCCTTTTGGCCTACGGTTGTGGAACAGAGAGTACGACGGGAAACACACGGAAATAACACTTCAGGTTTCAGGTTTCAGGTTTCAGGTTTCAGGTTTCAGGTTTATTTTTCAATCTAAAAGGTAATTAAGTTAATATTATACATCAGGTAAACATTTTAACGGAACTTGAAATAATAGTATGGGGAGGCCAGACAAAGAATACATGTAGTTATACAATTCATGAATAATCATAGGATATATCAATAATATGTGATTACATTAAATTCACGAGCTCATGCAAAACTTTACCAAAAAAAAAAAATAAGTTACTTGAAGTAAATTTACCATCCTTGGCTTTACATGTGTTGTTAATAATTTTACTTGGCAACAAAGTAATAATTTTGCTCTTAATCACCATTGATATTAACCGTAGTGAGAAGTAGTTTTTTATAATTTTATTAACTTTTATTTTATTAACTTTTATTAACTTTATTAAGATGAAGCTTATTTGACGACCTCGTGTCGTAATGATGAATATCTGTGTTCATTACAAAAAACGATTTAATATTCAAAGGCAGTATGTTTTTGTCAAAATTATACATTAGAGCACACAATTTATATTTATAAAGATCATATATATAAGGTGTTGAACTTAACAAATAGCGGGGCAGAGTGATCCTTAAAACTAGAACCATTAATCAGTCTTAAAGATTTCTTCTGTAAACGAGCAATTTATCAAGGTATGTTTTATGAGTATTTCCCCAGGCAAGTATACCATATTGAAGATGAGGCAATGATAACGTATTATAAATTGAAAATAGAATACGGGATGGGACAAAATATATCAGTTTTCTAAGAATACCAAGGTTGCGAGATATAAGTGTAAGTACTTTCTGACAATGATTTTTCCACGTTAACTTATCATCAATAATGACCCCCAAAAACTTACAGGAATCAACCTTTTCAATATGATGATTGTTAAAACGAATCTGAATACTTTCATCTACAATTCGATTTGTAACAACCATCGTATGTGTTTTCTTAAAATTCAAAGATAATTTATTACATACAAACCACTCAAATACATTAGTTAGCTCATTGTTCATTTTATCAACAGCATCATTCAAATGTTTACTACTGTAAAATATATTTATATCATCTGCAAATAAGATGAACGTCAGAAGTCGAAGATTCGAAAATTCGAAGATTCTACAATAGTTTATTGAGAAAGTTTGTTTGTTTCAATTTATCGTAAACAAAGAAACCACAATGTTCTTTTTAGCTGAACGAACGAACTTATTAATACAATAAAAATCAACAATTTTATACCTGTAAAACTTTGCTTGTACAAATGATATTATTTTAAAAAGAAACAGAATTTTTCAATTACTGCCATATTTAAGAACATTTAAGTCTTGTTATGATAGAATGAATGGGAAAAGGTTATCTCTAACGGATACAGTTGTCCAAAGTTAGCTAGCTATCTGGCGTTTAGTGCATGCAACAACACTAACATGGCATTTTCCAGGACAGACTAAAAAAACGCCAGCGACATTAACTATAGATAATCAGCGGTCTTAATATGTCAGCATTTAATATTACAGCAGTCTAAATATGTTTAGATAATATTTTGCCTAGTTAAAACTATTTGATATTTGTTTCAAGAGCGATATTCTCTCGTAAGCAGGTTATTGCATATTTGATTCACTCACTGCATTATTGAGTACCTTACTACAATCCTGGCTCACTATGTAAGTAACAATCACTTGTATTACAATGCATTCACAGTTAAACAGGATGAGTCAAAAGAAAGTCACCTGGATTAATAACTATTTTCCCCTTCAAAATCAAGTATATTTTAAACACCAATAAATGTGTCAATACAATATGTTCCCCGCACACCTATGTTCCCCAATACCTACGATTTCCCACAACCCCAACCCTAACATATAAGCGTAGCCAGCGGGGGTAAGGTGGAGGAGGGGGGGGGGAGGCGGCAAAGAGTCTAGTCAATTGAATCATCGAATGCATTACAATCAAGTTTCCCACGATGCATGCAAATATCAAATGTTTCCCTTCATTTAAAAAAATCTTTACAACTTTACGAATTGTCAAAACAATTAGGGTTTCTTTTTGATTTTTGGGGCTTTCAATTTCAATTTTTGGGCACCCAAAATTTTGCTCCGAATTTCCGTTTTTTTTTTGGGGGGGGGCATTCGATTTCGTTTTTCGTTTATTCAATATTTACTGTGTAGAATTTTTAAATTAATTCTTTGAATCTTTTGATGGTTGACGTATTCAAATTAGCGAACTTTTAACGTATTACTAATGGAGTGAAACTAATTGTGGAAAGGGTTAGGGATATAGGAAAAGCTAGATCGCGATTTCAGTCTAAAAGATAAAGGAGCAAAAGGCAATTAAGAATGTTTAACCAAAAAAACTTGGCTCAATTTGACATGAAATTGGTCCAGAAAAACCTATATTCTTTTTATTCTGTTTGCTTTTTTGAAAATTAATTCTTGGTAGTTATATTTTGTGGGAAACTTAGGGTGCTCGTACCCCGTTTTTGGGTCACTTTTCCGGGGACAGCTCTCATATGCAAAATAGACGCGCATGCGCATCGATCAAGACTACACCGGTTCGGAAAATGTTCGTCAAACGTACATTTACTGACGACGGCATGGCATTTAGTCAATTACCGGTACTTCGTGCACGCATGTAAGTTTGCACATCATAGTAAACTCGCGCCCATCACGGGAGTTTTGTGGGAACTGTTTACCAATGTATCTACTTGCCATTGCGACCGTTTCACGCGGGGGACGGCACTCATTCGAGTTGAACTCCACTCGTTCTATAGGGGAACCGAAAGGGACGGTTTCCTCAACAACATACCCCGACTTATTGCTTATCAATCTCATTTCCTTTGATGTTTCCAACACTTCGGCTATTATTGCGTGACTCGGCAGCTGCGATGTACCAGGTATAATAACCTGGTCTCCTGGTTTGAGGACGTTTATTTTGATCACAACCCTTTTATGATACATGAATGCTGACTTATCCAAGTTTTGTACCTGCTTAGCTAGAAACCAACTCCCGCAACGACCTACAATACCCCCGACGAAGCCATCGACGAAGCCCCCAAGCATACCCGCGATGATATTCCCTACCCCCGTCTGTTTGGTGAGATATGTGCCTGCAATCTGCCCCGCCACCTTCCCAGCAAACTGCTCCGCAGTCTGCAACCCATTTTTGGTTAATTCTTTGGTTGCCTCCTCGTAAACCATTTCGAGGAACTCTTTTGGGGTTAATTCTCGATTTTGTCGCTGCTCCCAAAGCTCTTGAATGTCCCATATGCATACTTCATCATCGATGACGAAGATCAGTCCGGACTCTAAACCTGTACAAGCTTCCTTAATGATTTTAAGTATGCTGGAGAAGCGACTTGCCTTAACATCCGTAGACCCAGAGCCTTCACTCGAGCGACTTGCCTTATCATCCGTAGACTCAGAGCCTTTACTCGAAGTCGTAAACGTCCTGTAGATACTGACAATCTTCACTCCGCACTTTGTAAGAAAACGAAGTACTCTGTCGATTGCCTTCTTGCCTTTTTGAAAAATGTTGGTGTCGGTTGGCTCTGCAGAGAGTTAAAAGAAGACAGCAATGTTACATTTCTTAGAAATTGTTACATTTAATGTAAGTTTGCGTTGGGCTTATGAACATTTTTGATAACTGGTACTCATTTCATTAGTTCTCACCGACTGTAATTTTGAGTCAGATTAAAAAAAACCAAGCAAAAAACCAAATAACCAACCAACGGCTAGTCTGGTAAGCTGCTCTAGTGGCTGATTTCTGGACCATTGACAATGGGCACACACGCGCGTTCACAGGCTTAAGATTTTAATTTTACTGCCCCCCCCAAAAAAAAATATATTTACAATTAGGCCTACCCCCCGCCCCCCCCCCCAATTGTAAAGTCCGGCGCCGCCACATCGCCACTGAGTTTATTTTGTGTGTGTGTAATTGCATGGCAGTATGCCAATGAGTATTATAACCCTTTCTCACAAATATTTTCCATAAGCAAATTTTTAGTTTGCAATTTGAATAGAAAACCAGTGTTGTAGACTTGGTCATTATTCGTCCGCACGCGGTATCGGCGGCATATCCTCGCTACACAAGTGCATTAAAAATACAGCGCGAACAGCGACCTCATGCTGTCACTATTTTATGCAAATCCTTTGAATTCAGACAAACGCCTTGGTCCAATCGTCCATGTGAGGTTTTCGGGGTGGTTACTGTAACATACCCGCATTGAAAATGTACACCTGTAAATGTTCCGCCAACAGATGGCGCCCTTCATAACTAACCTAGCATTCCACGCTTCTCGAAAGGAGACTACGTATTTCATATCTGGTTTTATTATAGTCTATGGTCTAAATAAAACACTGAGTCGAGTCCGAAACAGTCATATGGAATCGTTTGTTTCATTCCTTCTTTTGGATAGCCGACAGAGGAGGCTATTCATTTACACAGCGCTCACCATGGATACGCAGGTTTAGCCAATCAAGAGTGACATTCAGTTCGCGCATCATGCGCACGTTCATGGCAACGTAAGAACAAGACTTCGCTCGTACCCCCGCCCTGCGAACAGGACGCTGGGATAATCTGATGAGCTTCACATAATCTTGAGAAGGAAGTGGCCTATGACCTATGTATAAAGCATCTGGCTGCAGCTGTTCAAGACCGCAGTTAGACAATGTGCGCAAATGCTATCCGAAAACTTTCCATAGAATTGCGCACATCCCATACCGGATGTGATTTCTGTTTTATTGCGGAGCATGTGGACACAATTTTGAGCGTCGCATAATACAATCCGACCGTTCGTGATTCGGAGCGAGTGACGAGAATTGTAAATTTACAACACAGATAAGTTTTACAGAATTTCCTACATTATTACGATTTTCAACGAGAAAAATATCTCTAAACTTGTAGTGTACAAGGACGTGGAGAATGTTAACGATTACAACACTTTAAGTACTTTTCATCCAACATGGCTCACCCGCCAAAGCCTGCTAGAGGGCGATATATAGACACAACATCTCCCCTGTCTTAAATGGATTCATACTTCTGAAACCAAAGTATTTAAGTGATTCTCATAAATAAATTGTTATATCACAACGATTTTAAATTTTTATTTTAAACTACAATATGATCAAATAACTTGTAGGAGGGGAGTATGAAATTATACAATTATAAGTAAGAATAAAGTGTGAAAGTAAACATGTGTAATCCAAATTTGAGCCCTCTCAGTCCAGGAAATTTTTGTCAAAGAGTTGAAGTACCAGTACATGTGTAATTGTCCTAGTGAAATGATTAAAAAAAAGTCTTTACATGTGATAGTCCTTGGTCCAGACTGGTGGCATTCGTGACCTGGTAGAATGTCGTGTGGGTGCTGGTTGAGCCAAAACTTGAGGACTGGGTTGACTTGGCGACTGAGTGGGAGTCATAAGCGGCTGGACATGCACTCAACTTGGAGGCGTTCTAAACTCATCCATCTTGGAGCATGTATGTGAACGGTCCCTTGGACTCCACAATGAGCTGAGGAGCAGAGAATTTCTGTGAAGTCTTTGACTTCAGAGTTGGTATAAGCAAACGTAGTCACCGACACGAAATTCGGGCAAAGTTGCACCACGTTAATATCTGTCGTTTGCGGGACAGTTCTTGTTTGTGTGCAATCCGATCACGGACGGAAGAATCATCAGCGCGTTTAGGGGTGTGTTACAACTGATAATGTAGTAACCAACTGATAATGTATCAGCAACCGATAATGTAACACACATTGACCAATAATGTTTGTTACATTATCGGGTAAGACCGATAATGTAACAACAATCGACTGATAGTGTAGTACATTTTTACTACACTATCGGTCAATTTCTGTTACATTATCGGTTAGTGATACAGTATCGGTCAATTTGTGTGACATTATCGGTTGGTGATACATTATCCGTTGGTTACTACATTATCAGTTGCATTAGGGTGTCATTGCGAATGTTCAACCGTGTCACCATTTTGCGATTATGAAGCAGTTCTGAGTGGAAACCGACCACAAACCGCTGGAAATGATACACTAGAAAGCTCTCATAGCAGCACCACCCCGCTTACAGCGAATGTCATTGCACCTCCAACCGTACGACATCACAATCACGTACCTCACGGGAAAGGACATGCTACTCGCTGACACACTGTCTCGCCGCCCAAGTTCGACAAACACGCACATCGATCTGGACCTGCAAATCCAGTTTGTGCAGTTCTCCAACAAACGCATCAATCAGCTCAAGCTTGAGACAGCAAACAATGACACTATGTCCAAGCTCATGGAGCTCATCGTTAATGGCTGGCCAAACAGAATGAAAGACCTACCAAAGCAACTTCGACCATACAGGTCTTTCCGCGACGAACTCTCAATCAAAAACAGCATCATCCTGAAGGGAGAACGCGTCTGTATCACTGCTAGCATGCAAGAGTACGTCCTGACCAAGTTGCACGAAGACCACCAAGGCATGGAGAAAACAAAGCTTTGGGCAAAGGACTGTGTTTATTGGTTAGACATCAACAAGCACATTGAGGAACTTGTGAAACAATGCCCAACCTGCCAAGAACCCTCGTACAACACGAGATCCCCACACGACCTTGGCAGGTACTGGGTACCGATCTGTTCCATTTCCAAGAGAACAACAGACTAATTGATAGTCGCAGACTACTATTCCGAGTTTCCCCTCATCCGCAAAATGCCCACCCAATGCACAAGTCAGGCTGTCGTGACTGCAACCAAACAACTATTCGCCGAGAATGGCATACAGGCGAAAGTCGTCACTGACAACGGCAGACGCTTCGACTCGGCAGACTACAGGGCCTTCTCCCATGCCTGGGGATTCGCACATGTGACTTCATCACCAAACTAACCGCAGTCGAACGGGCTTATTGAGCGTACAATCCAGACAGTGAAAAACGCGCTCAAGAAAGCTGAAGCCAGTGGGCAAGACACGGACATGGCACTCCCGTGCATTCGCACAACACCAGTAGATAGTGTCATCCCAAGCCCTGCTGAGCTACTGTGTGGTAGGAAAATCCAAGCAAATCACACCACTTCGCATCCGCAACACGTCCGCTCTGAAGGACAATATCCACGATCGCCTACAGCAACGGCAAGACACACAAAAAGCGTACTACAACGGACACACACATGACCTACCACCATTGGCACCTGGCCAAGCTGTCCGAGTGCAGCATCATGTCACTGGACTCTGGACACCCGCAACAATTGAGCAGCAATGTCAAGAGCCACGGTCCTACCTGATCAGCACACCAAGTGGCGGGATTCTCCGCAGGAACCGCCGTCAGCTACGAGACACTACACCTGCCAAGCGAGTCACTTTCACAACAGAAATTCCACGACCGCCCCCACTCCAACCACCCCTGCAGGAATCCTAGCCTGCTTCACAAAGTGTAGATAACGAACATTCACAAAGCAAACCTAACCAGCATAACCCTGGCAAGGAACAACCGTATGTCACGTGATCTGGACGAATCGTGACAAAACCGAACAGGCTATCATTATAATTGGTCACACACTGTCCCACATAGCTGTAGAATGAGGACATTCTCTGAAACAACGGTTCTAAATTAGGATTTTCCAAAATAAAAACAAAATAAAAATGAAGAAAGTGAGAAAAACCAAACTTGACAGTTTTGTTCGAAATGTTAAGGAACATTCCACGTTAAGGCCATCCCAAAAGAAAAAAGAAGAAAAAGAACAAAGAAATATAAGTTTGTTTTTCAGCCGACCCAAAGTGAAGGGTTGAAAGAGTTAAAATGTCAAGTTAGATATATTTATGTTCGGTAGAGTTAGCAGTAATGACAGTTTATTGAACCTCTTTTTAATGGACTCTGTACAACTTACATGTATTTTCCTAAGAGGGGGGTGTAACATACCCGCATTGAATATGTACACTTGTTCATGTTCCGCCAACAGATGGCGCCCTCCATAACTAACCTAGCATTCCACGCTTCTCGAAAGGAGACTACGTATTTCATGTCTGAATAAAACACTGAGTCGAGTCCGAAACAGTTCTCCTCTGTTCAACCATTTATTCTAAAGAATACAGTCCTGCACTCTTTACAGTTACTTTGACATTCGAGTACGAGAACCAGTGTCCTAACTCGAGTCCAGGACTCGGACTCGAGTCGGTCTCGAGTCACGTTTTTCGTAGCTTGGACTCGACTCGAGTCAAATTGGAAATGACTCGGAATCGGACTCGACAATGATGACTCGGACTCGAGCTTGTTGACTCGTGACTCGAGTCACGTATTTTAATCAAAAGGAAAAAAAACACACATAACGTTTACGTATTTGTGCGTCGAACATATACAAATAATGAATGTTTGTGAGTGCAATGGTAAGAATAATTTCATGAGGTGACAGATGAAATGTTCCATTCCACGAGGCGAAGCCGAGTGGGAAGGAACATTTCATCTGTCACCGAATGAAATTATTCTTTCCATTGCACGAACGTGAAATATTCATTATTCGTTTTATATAACACCTGAATAAATCATTCTCATCTGATTGGTTGACTTTTAATCGCCAATTTATTCAGGTTAAAAACTGTTGAAAAGTTCGACAAGTTCATCATATGTATATTAATGCAAACTGTTCGACAGGTTAAGAACAATCATATTCAATTTATCTCGATTTAAAACAGCGCCACCACCAAGAGCAGTGACACTGTGCAATGGAAGTTCTATTCATAGTGTAATAGAACTTCCATTGCAATGCGCGCTGCGCGCCACGCACGCGCCGTGCGTTGGTACGAATAATTCAATGCCATGTGATCAACGATCCACCAATCAGATGACGGGGATTTATTCAGGTGTGGTATAACATTCTATAATTTATAGACAAAACACGGCGCCGTGGAAAATCGTATCCAGGGTCAGGGGCCGCGCATGCACGCGTACAGCGCCTGCACAATGGATGGGTTGGGAAAGGGTCATTGAGAAATAATGTTTGGATGATAAAACATTGAGGAAAGGGATGGAGCAGGATTTTTTTAGGGATGGGAATTTAAAGGAAAACACATTTGGGTCTAAACAACATGTGCACACACAAGGTAAACTATATACACTGGGATTTACTCCAGAGACAGAATGGATGATTGAAAAATAGTTTAAAAAATGATTAGTTTGGTGAACAACTAAGAACAAGTAACTCGTGACTCGCACTCGAGGCTTGTGACGTACTCGACTCGGGACTCGGACTCAAGGCTTGTGACTCGAGAGTCGGACTCGAGGCTTGTGACTTGACTCGACCCGGGACTCGGACTCGGACTCGAGGCTTGTTACTCGAGACTCAGACTCGGACTCGAGGCTTGTGACTTGAGACTAGGACTCGAGGCTTGTGACTCGGGTCTCGGAGTCGGACTCAAGGCTTTTGACTCGACTCGAGACTTGACTCGGACTCAAGGCTTGTGACACTCGGGACTTAAGACTCAGACTCGGACTCGAGGCTTGTTACTCGAGACTCGGATTCGGACTGGAGGCC